GAGGCGCCTTCGGGAAGCAGCGCTGCCGAATTTGAGGCGAGGTCTCCCAAAGCCGGATGTTCCACCAGCAAAACAGAATGGAAAAGTGCTGGGGCTGAGCACCACGAAGAGCAGCTTTCCCCCACAGGCTGGGAGCTCTCTCCCAAGGGCCCCGTGCCCACTTTCTGGTGGGGAGAGAGTTCAAAGCAGCACATCCCTGCTGACGGTGTCCGTGCCTGAGCTGGGATCTGCATCCAGCTCCTGCTCAGTAGCCAGACAAAGAGCTGGGTGCTGCTCCCAGGAGAGCACTCACAGCTGCTTCCTCATGGAGAAAAAATCCCACCAGCTCTCCAAATCTAGCCCCCAGGCAGCACTGTGCGTTCAGCAGGCCAAGCAGAAGTGGAGTTGACCAAAACTGGCTGAACAAACCCATGTTATGGTGTAAACATGGCTGTGAGAATGATTTGGGAGATGAAATTGTGCAGGTCTGTTCCCAGACTTCTCAGTCAGGGTGGGAGATACCTGTTCTGAGCCAGTCTTGTCGAATTTGAAGAGATTAGTACTGTTTCATTATCTGAAAAAAAGTAGGCTTTTCTACTTGGTTGTAACTTGAATTATGTGGCTGAGTATGAAAACTTTTTAAAATTAGCTGTGCATTTTCAAGTTGCTAGCTGGCTTTATTTCCCACACTTGCCTATTTTTATCCCAATTGGATAGTGCCTATTACTGGGAGCTGGGAGGGCAGAGGTTTAATTTGTGTCATTAATGTTCTGAATGAAGACGCCCACCGGCCTCACGGCTGCTCAGGGACGTGATGCACCAGCTCCCTGCCCTGTTGCCTGGCTTTGAGCACTGATGCTCAGACAGGAGGGACACAGGAAAGGGACACAGTGTGGCCAGGAGCATGCCCACAGCTGTGCAGGTGCTGGTCGAGCTGCCTGTGATGCTCTGGTGCTGGTGCTGTTTCTGGCCCATGAAAGGGATGCCAGTTCTGCCTTCCTCAGTCAGGGGTGGATTTTCACCTTTAGGGCCTCGCTGGTGCTGGGTGAGGGGGGACAAACACACCATTGGCACCAAGGGCAAAGCCAGGAGCCTGACACAGACCTCTGTGGGGGCTGATGCTTGCCTGCTTTGGGCTGTTCTTGGAGACAGTGTTGGTGGGGGAGGCTCCCTGCACAAGGGCCCTCTGTTAGAGCAACAACTGCCTCCCCCGGGCAGAGCAGTGGGAGGGGAGCTGCCCCACTCTGCAGCTGCTCCTGCTTGTTCAGAGCAAGAGGAGCAGAAGTGTCAGCTCCCTACTGCCTGGGAGGTGTCCAGGATCTCCACACCCTCCCCTGCTGAGGGTGCTCAGGGATGGGGCAGTGGATTGGAAAGGTGGAGGGAGCCTGTGTGCCGAGGCTTGGCTGGAGCAGGGCTGCCCTGGGGACTCAGCTGCGCCCTTGGAGGGGCCACGGTGGAGCTTTGAGAGCTTTGGTGTCCACAAAGCCTCACAGGATTTTAGCATCTGCACTGTTTGCTAGCTGAACTCGCTTTTTACTCCATGCCATGATTAAAGAAGATGTTCCTTTGCACAAAATGCCTCTTCCACAGCATCAGTCCAGGGAGAATTATAGTTTGCAATGCACTGATGTCACAGAAAGATATGACAGATAAAGCCTGAATTAACAGGGAAAAAAGCAAACCCAAACAGCAGCCCATGTAAAATATTTGTTGTGGTCCTCTCTTGATCTTTTCAAGATCCTTGGAAAAGATTCCTGTGCTGTGAAGATGTTTTATCTAACCAGGCACCTCCCCATGCCTCTCTTTGATACCTGAACCAAAACATTCAAAATAGGAGACTGTCACAGCAAATGACAGGAAAAAAGAGCTGAAAATTTACAGTTCATAAATCTGACCTCTTCTCTTCTGCCAGGCAATTTCCCAGATCTATATGACAAGGAGACAGAGGGAGGGTGTGTATGGAATGTATTTCTGCAGCTGAGCTCTTCTAGAGAAAACAGATCTATTTATTAGTAAGCATTTTTCACCCTAAGGTTTCTAATGGCCAGTTAAAGAAGTTCCATGAGCCTCATTTTGTTTCAGACTCTTCTCATTCCCAAGAACAGGAAAGCGTGTTTTTAGGATGATTAAGCTTTCCTTTCTTTAAAATCCTCTTTGGACTTCAGTTGATCTGGAGATAAGATCATTTCTGTCCCTATCTGTCAGAGTTGGTAAAGAAGAGCACCAGTGTTTGGTAGATAACATTAAGGTTGTAAACTTTTAGCTGGGGCCATCTATCTTGTTTATATCAGGCAGTGCTTCTGTTTGTGTTTATGGCTTTTGGTAGCCCAAGAAGGAATTTGTGTCTTTTCAGATTGCTGTGGCCAGGGAGAAGGTATTTAGTGAGCCTTCAGTATCTCCTGCTCTGGCTAAACCTGATGCTTGTGTCTTTGCTGTGTTGAAAACACGATGGTATGGAAAACATGGCTTGGGCTTTTACCTCTGCCACTTTCTATGGCTCCTGGTGGAGCTCCTCCTCCCTGCAAGTTGAGGCAAATTATTCCACCCTGTTGAGTCTTCTGGAGTTAGGCTCTGGGTAGCCTTCAGCTTAAGGGAAGCAGGCACTTGCCAAAGCTGCACTCTTGTTAGTCATAGCCCTGGCCAGCCAGACAATGGCTACAGAAATGCCCTGTGAGTATTTCATGGGTGGGCTGGGGCTCAACCAGAGACAGCACTCAAATAATACAGTCTAGACTTTCAGTGCTTGGTGTTTTTAATAAGGATGCTTTTCTTGTCATATGGCTGCCTGGGAGCCTGAGCTTTCCTTTAAAAGTAGCTTTTTAGCTCTCTTGTCTGGGAGGAGAGCTGTGAAACCTCAGCTGTGGCCAGGGATTGCATAGGGCTGCCTTAATGGGCACAGGGTGGCTGGAGTGACCTGTGCTGTGCCCAGGTATTTGAAACATCTGCAGCACAGGCAGAAGGACAAGAGATGGCATTGCATCCTTTACATGACCTTATAGCATCACTGACCTGGCACAGTCACCTGCTGCTGATCAGAACAGCCTGACAATATTGCTGCAGCAAAAAGAGCCCACTCTGGGTATTAATGTGTGCACATACTTAAACATGTGCAAAGCAGGTACTTTCTGGAGGGGAGGCATTCCCCGATTAAATCAAAATGTGCATTTAGAAATAGGAAAATGTCCATATCACCTATCACAGCGGTGATTGCAGGAATGTGGTGATCTCTGCATCTCAGCCGGCTGCAGAGGCTGCCCTTGCAGGCTTCTGTTTGGGTTATGGGAAAGAGCACGAGACCAGGGAGATACAGAGGTGGAGCGTGCCCTGGTTTCACCCCATGAACACAAAGGTACATGTTCACTTCAAATGGCAAGTATTTAGTGAGCACAACAGGCTGCAGAACTCGTGTTCAGCCTAAAGACAAGGCCTTTGCATGAAATTAGGTAACTACCTGCTCGTCTGTTTGCATACGGAAATCCCTCATTTGTGTGCAGAAATGTGGCTGCTTTGTGTAACTGTTTGCTCACGCAAAATTTACCTCTTGAAGTTTGTCCTGAGGAGACCTGCTGGAGAGCTCCAAACCAGTGGCATGTTGTGGGAAAGGTGGCACACAGTCCAGACCAAAACAAAAATGCAGCTCTGCTCTGAGTTGGTATTTCATGTTCTGGTACCCATTTAGCAAACATGAAAGAGGCAGGAACCATGAGGCATTTGATACAATAAGGCTTACAGGGGGAGACAGAAGAAAAAGTCTACTTTGACTAAATGTGTTCAATCTTTCAGTCGACAAAATACATTTCAAACATATTCAGGCTACTTCAAGATGTCCCTGTCTCTCCCCCACAACATTAAAGCTGTAAGGGTTTGAAGCCCTGGCTGATAAAATAATTTTCTGCATTCCCCAGCTATGTACTCATCCACTTCAAAATAGCTTGGTAGGTGACAAGTTATTTTCTTAACCTCCCCATTTTCAGCTCACTGTTAATTCAGTTTTCTCATTTTCTACACACAGGCTGCTTTTCCCCTGTGCTGAATGCAAATAGCTCTGTAACTTAGAAGTTGTTGAACAAGTATATTTAAGTTATTGCAACCCATAGAGAGGAAACATAATATGCAGTGAAAATAAACAGGACACCACATAAAACTCATGTTATCTTCGATGTCAGCAATACTTGGGAAGGAAATTATTTGGATAGAAAATGTTAGTTTGCATTAGGTAGCATAATGTGTGACTGAAGAAGAGTCAAATAGCCATTTTAGATACTTGGAAGTATTTCACATTTCCAAGAGAAACAGAGCTCTGAATAACAAACCACTGTGTTTATGGGCCCCTGCTCCCACAGGGGCATCAGCACTGCAGGGCAGCCACTCTTGTGAGTTATTGATTGACAATCTGCTGGACTGGGACAGTGATTTCCATCTCTGGAGGAGGCTTTCTGGCAGGAAGGACAGGTTTTGCTGTCCTCCTTGCAGAGTTAAAACTTGGAGAGGAGCTGGCACATCTGGGTGATTATTAACCCTTAGGTTAGGCTCAGGTAGCACACGACCTTCTCAAGAGCAGCCTCTCCTCCCCTCAGGGCTCCAGGGGGACAAAAAACACCTGGAGGAGCCCAGACCTTGTGTCAACCCCAGGGTGGGAGTTCTCCAGTGAGGGATCATGCTGGGCACTGCTGCTGGCCAAGGAGGTGCCTCTCTGCCTGCAAAGGGCTGCAGGGCTTGGGTGGGCAGACACTGAACTCGTGGTGCTCTGCACAGGTCCTGTGGCATGGGGAAAGATGGAAGAGAAATACTGGTACACAATGAGAAATACTGGCAAATGCAAGGGAGAGAAAGGAGATGGAAGGAGGAGATGGGAGAGAAATACTGGTGAACAGTGAGAAATACTGGGAGATTGTTTGCACAGAAAAGTGGAGTACATGTAAGATAACAAACCTGATGTGCATGGAGCTCGTGTGTTCAAATGTGGTTTTTGATGGCTGTGATGCTGCTTGTCCCTTACCATGAATTTCTCTTTGTTTCAGGTAGGAATGAATTGATAGCCAGATACATCAAACTTAGGACAGGGAAGACACGGACCAGGAAGCAGGTAAAATAACCCAGTGGGGAAGTATGCATGTCAATGAATGACAAAACCTGGCATTTTTGGCTGCAGTGGCTGTCTGTGCTTCAGCTCTGATGGGATGATGTATTGACTTTACTATTCAGATTAAACACATGCTGTTTAGAGAATATTTAACACTTTGGGGTTTATGTTGTGGTGGTGTGAGGATTCATATTTTATTAATCTGTCTGTAAATGAAGCTATTATCCCCCCATATTTTATAAAAAAATTCAAAAGTTGAAGCAAAACCATAAAGTATTGTGCCTTATTTCTCTATGTAATATTATAATATAATTATTATTTTGAGATGATAAATAATGGAACTTAAAAGTTAAGAGAATTTGGCTGTACAATAGAGATTATGATTCTTGGATATGAGAGGTAACCATATAAAAATGAACTAATCGTAATCATGCTCTCAGGTTATGGCCTGTAGTTGCCATAAAATAAATAAACAAAATAATAATTAAAATAATTTTAAAATAATTTAAAATATAAAATAATAAAAAATAAATAATTAAAAATAAATAATAAAAAATATAAAATAATAATAAAATAAATAATTTTAAAATTTCCCTAAGAACCTTCAGGTTCCTGGTCTTTGACCATGGTAAGATTTCATTCATGTAAGAATCTGAATAAACCTTAAAACTCCCTTAAGTTTGTTTTACATGATTACCACATAGCCATTAATTTATCTCCTATTACTAAGTCCTTTAATTCATAATATTCACAGCAATCAGCAGCCTTGCAGAAAGCACAGTTTGTGTGCAGTTTGTGCAGTGGTTACTGCAGAGTTTAAAACCACTCCACACATGGCAGAGGTCCCTTGGCTTTAGGGTCAGGTGTGAGATTCCCCTCGTGGCCCTGCGGGTGTGTGCCGGGGGGCGGGCAGGGGCTGGCCCATGGCACGCTGTGCATGTCCTGCAGGGCAGAGGGAGGTGGCACTGGGTCACACAGAGCTGCCAGCACTCGGGTTTGAAGCACTTTGGGTGCTGCTTTGCCCTGGGTGGTGTCCCTTGTCAGCCAGGAGGAAAGCACGTGTGCAAGGGATGGAAAAAAGCATCAGAAAGGAGGAGAACTGCAGCACGTGGAAAAGGAGCAAACCAAAGACTGGCACAGAAACCACAAACTAAAGGCAGAGTCCCCACTTCTGCTCTGCCTTGCCCGTGCAAGCTCCAGGAGCTGGAAGTTATGCTGGGATCATAAAGTTGCCTCAGGAGTCAAAATGCAGAGCTTGGGGTTAGATCCTTGGCCAGCATGTACCAAGAAAGCAGGAGGGCTGTGATGTGTGCAATGTCTGCCTCCATGCTTGTACATCCCTCTGTAGTGAGGCATAAATCACTTTAAACTGCTTACAAAAGTTGGTTTGTGGCTGCTCTGGAGTTTTAACCGAGTGATTAAATGCTAACAATTGTTCTTCTTGTATAACCTTCAACACCACTAATATTCCACTGAAAGCAAAACAAATGAACCTGTGTGAAAACTCAGTCTGGGTGTTTGACTGCAAAATTGCTCAGTAAGCAGCAGTATAACTCTGAATTGCTGCAAACTGGTTCCTGAGCTGCTTCTCGAAGGTGGCCTTCGGGGACTGTGCTCATTGATGCATCATGGTTTGCTTCCCTACTAAAATGCAGGCTTTTTGGTACTACTGTCACAGAACAGTCTTACAGAGGAGGAAATCATTGTTTCTCCTTTTCTTTTGCTTTGTTCTTTCCCAGACAGGAATTGTAACTAATGTAGGAAAAATGTGCACCACCTTATATGGTATGTCTGGAGTCAGACAAGAATCAGAGATTTCCCTTTAGTGGTTTTTGCCATCACTTCAGGTTTTAAACCTTCACACAGAAGGATGAAGGATGCTGAGTGCTACCAAGTGTTGCTGGGCAGCATCATTAAACCCTCAGCAGCAGCAGCATGGATTATGTCCCTGGGTAAAGAGGAATGCGAATTTGGGCCCAGACCCTTCACAGCACAGGCAGCAGCATCTGACCAGTAACTGGTGTAGGGTAGGACTGGGTTTGCACAAATTTCTCAGCAACACAGCCCTGGGCCAGGCCTGGGCATCACTCAAGCTGATGTCAAGTTGCTGGTCCCCAGTTACACAAATGTTTTGTGGGCAGACTTGATGCTGAGATTACCAAGGAAACCAGCAGGGGTTCAGGGACCTGTGTTGTGCCAGTGTTTTATCATTTGTGCCAGAATTTAAAGCATTTCAGTGGACTCAAAATGCAGCCCGAATCTCCTCACTGGAGCTGCAGAGCACAATAAATAATGGATAAAATTTCTTGGTGCCAAGTTACATCTCAAGCCTAGTGGCAAATGGTCAGAGTGGGCTTCTGCATCCCCAGCAGATGGGGTGGAAATCCTTTGGGCTCCCCACATGAGAGCTCAGGGCCTGGGCATGGATGGGATCGGTACCAAAGCACGCGGGCTGCGTCCAGCTGTGAACTGTGTCTTCTATCTTGTAGCTGAATGCACAACCTGGTGGGTTACACTTCTTTTTTTCCTTTCTCTTTTTTTTTTTTTTTTATTTCCTTAATCAAGTCACTGCAGTGACTTGACCTGTATTGTTAAGCCTTGGTGCTAAGAGCTTGGTATCTGGCTGGGAATGTGGTATCTTTAACAGCAGAGCTTACTGAAGGTGCAAATAACTTCCTCCCCTCAGAAAAGTTTCTTTTTTTTATTTTTTTTTTTAAGAAAAAAAATAGACATTTAAAATTTGATTTGCTTTTTGTTTTTCTTTTGTTTGTTGTTTTTTTTTCCCCCCTATAAACCTGAACAATGTAGGTGTCTAGTCACATACAGGTCTTAGCAAGAAAGAAAGTTCGAGAAATTCAAGCCGCCATTAAGGTACGTTTGGCTTGCCCAGTTGTAGGGGGCTTTTCATCTCCATGGTTACAGGCTTTTCCTTTGTTTCCTCCCTTCCCCTACCCTGCAGGTGTCTAGTCACATTCAGGTTCTTGCCAGAAGGAAATCTCGTGATTTTCATTCCAAGCTGAAGGTATGCGCTTTTCTGCTTTTGGGCTTGTGGTTGCTATGCCTGTCCCTCCCTCCTCCCCGCGGTGATGGGCGAGCTGGGGCTGCTGTGCCGTAACCTCCTTCTCCTGCATGTGGGAGCTCTCTGCCTCTCTTTGTGTTTAACCCCCGGGTTCTGCACTAGCATCCACATTAAAAACGTTGTTTTAACACTGTCCAAATGCCGAGTGAACTCCTCTTTGTAACAGCTCAGCACCTAAACCTCATTTTTAACCCCTTAGTCCATTTTTTTGTTTTGCTTTTTAACGGTCCTAGCAGTGTATTTAAGTACACAGGAGTTTTGCATAGTTGTGTAGATGCTTTTTAGCTTTTTTTTTTTTTTTGCTTTTTCCAGAGGAGTAATTGGGGTAATTGTTTTCCATTCCCAAATGTTTTTTGTCCATGCTTCTGAACTGATATCAGGAATACTTAAACCAGATCATTTATTCCAAGTGCCAGAGAGCACAGCTTATCCAGATTGCTCTATGGTGTTTCTAGACTACAAACTAGTATCACCTCAAGTTACACACTATTTACAAGATTCCCTGAAATTTAATTTTTTTTAAAGTAAATTATTGACATGTAATCTTTGGAAAGCCTCAGTCAGTCCTGTTCAGGGAATATTAAGTATGTTTGCTTAATCTGACATGATGAATTGTACATGTCCCCGTTTTCTCTGCCTTCCATAAAATATATTCTAAGGCTGAAAAGAACCTCTTGGAAATGCTTAATAGGGGTTTCTTGGATTGCTTGTTTTTTCAAGTTTTTCAGCAGAGATCTTGAGATTTTTTGGGATTTTCTTCCCACACCATTTAAAAGTGGAAGAGGGAGTTTTGCAGTTTTTTCACTGTCGATTTTTTAAAATAAGAACCGAAGGAACTTGTAAATCTCTTACTTGCCTCCTTTTTTTTTTCCCTCCTTTTAGTGTGAGTGGATTTTTTTTTCTTCACCCAGATATGAGAACAAATCACGTTTTTGTTCTAGCTGGAAAGCAAAACATTTCAGGCAGTGCTTTCCCAGCCCTGAGCAGTGAGCACTGCGGATGCTCACCCCCATCCTGGAACTGCAGAATAGGAATAACAGCCTGCCTTTGTAACAGGCCTCCCTGACAGAAGCACTGGGTTTTTCATGGGCAGCATGCTGGCAAGCTTGTCTGGCTGTTGGTGGCTGGCTTTTTAGCTGCACTGGCTGAGCAGTTGGGGTTCGTAAAGAACGACTAAGACAACTTAAACGTACTGCTTCTTAACCCAGGGTGCAATAATACAGAGATATGTAGCATTTTAAGCTCAAATTGTCAAGCCTTGATGCCTAAAATTAAGTATCTAAGTAGGTGGCCCTACTTTCAGAGGTGCTCAGCACCAGCAGCTCCTGGAGTTTTAGAGGACTGGTGAGAGCTCAGGGCTGCAAAAATCAGGAAGCCCACATAGGTACCAAATACAGGCCTAGGAGTCAAACACAATTATTGGATTTGCTGCTCTAAAATGTTTCCATTTCTGAATGCCCAAAATACCTTAAAATGTGAAGACACTTACAAAGCATTAAAAAACATTTTAAAGTACTGCACCTGCTGTACTTTTATTGAAGCTTTCCAAAGAACAGAGAGGTAGCCAACTCTTAAGCATATTTCATCTAGTCTAGATGGCATTTTCAGTAAATAGACATCTGGGAGGAATTTTCATTTTAAGGAGTCGCCTGAAGAAGAGAAGATCTGTTTGGACAAGAAGATATTTTGTAAGGGCTTCATACCTGGTTGCCCTTTTCCCACCTGCCCATGGGCTGCAGCTCCCCCGGTGCTGAGTGGAAAGTGGAGCAGCTGCTGTGTCACTGCTGGGAACTGATGGCCTCAGGAAGATGCCCGGCTCTGCAGGGCCATTTGCTTCACCTCTCTGCCACACCACGGTGGGGACAGACTGCACACAGGTGACGGAGCTTTGCTGGCCCCTGTCCCTGCTGACACAAGCCCCCCAGGCCTCCCCCGGTGGGGCTGGCTGGCCCGTGGGTGCGGAGCTGCCTGTCCTAGCTGAGTGTCCATGCTGCCCCTGGGATGAGCTCCCTCAGAGCCCTGAACCTCCCCAGCTACTCCTGCACAGCCCCAGCTCAGCTGAGGAGTGCCCAGCAAGGGTGAAGGAGCCAGGCCCTCCCCACCTCCCTCTTCTCAGCCTTGCCAGTGTTGGTCCCAGTGAACAGGAGCCATGGCATGACCCCTGTCCCCCTGCACTGGTCCCTCCTGGAGAAGGGACAGCCTCCCACAGGCCTTGTCCTCCCACATGGAAGAGGTGAAACTTTGATGTAGAAGGTGCCATAAGGGAGCTGCCTTAGGAAGAAGAGAGCTCTCGTTCCTCTTGCCTGCTGCAATTGCTCCCTGGAGGTGGCAGAAGGTGCTGGTTTTGAACCTGAGATGGAACTTCACTTCTTCAGACATTTTGTTAGTGCTACTGCCCCTTTTGCTCACTATTTCTGTGTTGAACCATCTGTATGGCCCACTGTCACTCAGAATCACCTGGAATCATGGACTATTTAGGTTTGAAAGGCACCTCTGGAGATCATTTAGCCCAACTTCCCCCTGCCAAAGCAGTTTGCAGAGGACTTCAAAAGCTGCCTGAGAAGGACATCACTGGTGCAAAAGGAAGACAAGGTGGACACATTCCAGCACATCTGAGTGGTCATCACTTCAACAGGGAGCAATTTTGGCAGCAGCCTGAAGAGCCCCATCAACGTCCTTGGAAAGATGATGGGCTCTTGCTGTCCTGGAGTGAGTGCTTGTATTCTGCATTCCCTGGTGAAGGGGTGACCAAGGAGAAGATTAAATGCACAGTTTTTGACACAGTTTTTTTTATGCAAGCATGTACTGACAGGACAAGGAGGAATGGCTTCAAACTGAAAGAGAATAGGTTTAGACTAGATATTAGGAGAAAATATTACTGTGAGGGTGGTGAGGCTCTGGAAGAGGTTGCCCAGAGAAGCTGTGGGTGCCTCAGCCCTGGCAGTCTTCAAGGCCAGGCTGGATGGTGCTTTAAGCCACCTGGTCTAGTGGGAGGTGACCTTTTAAAAAAGTCCCACTAGCAGTGGGCTTGGAACTAGATGGTTTTTCAGGTCCCTTCTAACCCAAACTGTTCTATAATCCTATGCTTCCCACCCAGGCCAACTCACCCTTTTAGCAGTGAGCTGCCACTTGTAAATTCTACGATTGGTGGCATCCAGGGAAGCAGTTACTACTTAAAAAAAAAAAAAATCCCCTATGGATCTGGTGTCAACTTTCTTTTGAGATGTGTCTGATCCAACCTGTCCCACTGGCCCCTGCTCCTGTCCTCTCAGTTTGACAGTGTTTATACAAATAACCCTTTTCCCCCAAGTAGCTGCTGAGTTTATTCTGTACCAAGAGATCTTACTGTCCTGCCTGGGTCTGAAACCTGCTCTTGGAGAGGAGAGGACTCAGGCAAATCTTCTTGTGTTAATCTTCTGCAAAAATCCACAAGGATGGAAGGATCTCAGAGCTGTCTCACACATGGCATTGGAAGCTGTCCTAAGAGGCAGCAATCTCACCTGCATGCCATAAACTCTGCTTGGTCCAGCAAAGTCCCTTTTCTTCAATGAGAAGTGCCTGCAATCACTGAGCATGGATGGAAGGATGGAAGGATGGATCCTTAGCCTGCAAGGAAGTGAAGTTTCACCCATAAATGCTATTGCTGCCTTTCAAGACCACCAGTAAAGAATGTCCCCCCAGCCCTTCCAGGGATGTCACACATTTTAATTCTCTTTGCAGCAGGAAAATACACCTATTTTAGCGATTTTAATCCTAATATACTTGATGTCATTAGAATCTTCCTGAGGTTAGAGTAATTAAATCTCATGAAAACGGGAAGAGAGGCTGAGATATTGTCCTTGGAGACAGATCTGAAAGGCAGCTGCTCTTCATGGCATTTCCTCTCAGGCAGAGGCTGCAGGAGGCAAAGCAGAGGTTTGGCACTCCAGTGCTGTGCTTCTGTGTCAAGAACACCAGCCCACAGTGTCAGGTCACAGCATCCCCACCTTTGCACTGACAGGGAGCCAAAGTCACCTCTGTCCACTCAGGACAAAAGATGGATTGGAAGCTGTACATAAACAGAGAGTAAAGGTGTTCACAGCAGGATGTGCATCTATCTTAGGCTTTCATATCAGATTTTCTTCATAGTGCAAGATTAATTAGACAGAGACAAAAAATTAAAATGACACATTAAAATGCCTACAGTTCACATCTATTACATGCTTTTAAATCTATTATTCTACATTCCGCATTTAGGGATAAAAAGAAAATATTGTTGTCAATTATAAAATGCTAAAGATAGCTCTATACTTTTTTAAATGAACAATGATAAAAGCCTTGAAAAATTCCCTTTGATGTGAATGGAGTCTTCAGCATTTTGAAATACAATAAGATGGATTAATTGCTACTCATTAGGCAGCAAGTTGGGACAGCTTTGAATGCGCATTCTCTTCTTGGCATTAGCTATTGCCTGGCTGAAATAGCCAGCTTTTGTATTTACTCCTGTCTTCTCTAATAATAAGCAAATTGGAGATCAGGGCTAGAAACACTGAAATGCTCTCTATCTTTTGTCCAGAACAATTGTATATTGTCATGATTTGTTTATCTTTTTTGAGCTACAGCTAATTATTGTAAAGGTTATTTGAATCAATATGAGATCTGAGAAGAAATAACATCTGCAAAATTGCTTATTAGGAAGCTATTTTATGCTAGTGTTACTGTAACATTTTGTGAACAAATTGTTGTTTCTTATGTCTTTTTTTTTTTCTTACATGAAAAGTTTTGCATTTTAAATACTGGTACAGGTTTTTAGGGCTTGAATTAATACTGCTCTGTTGTGCTTACTTTTTCTCATACTGTCTTAGATTTTTTTACTCCCAAAGTCATAGATAACATGGTATTCAAAACCCCATTTATCATTCTAAGATAACAGTTTTCATTTTTTTGCTTAAGAACTTGTTTGAACTGATTGATTGAATTATTCTTCTGTTTATGTTGGATTAAAAGAAAGTCAAGCACAAATCCTTTTGTGCTTGTCATTTAAAACTCTTGTTTCATGCAGGGCTTTTATAGATATTAAGATTTATAAATGAATTATACTGAATTATTATTATCTCATTTAACTATGTATTTTGCATTCCAAAATGAATTGTGAAAAGCAAACCTCAAGGGCCTGATTCATTAAAAGTTGTAGTCTTCTTGCATTAGATGCTTAGAGCTTGCATCTTCCAGAACCAAAGTGTGTGCAACTGCAGCCAGAAGCAGTCAGCTAAAACACGAGGCACATCTTGGTCTCCCCTGCAGAGATGATATTTCAGGGATTTAGTGGAACTAGACCAGTTTTCCACTGACTGGGCTCTAAACCCACCCTGGTAACATTCATTACTAATTATGTACCACAGTGCAGAAGACTTTTCCAAGAGGAGGGCAAGGCAGGGGTGTGAGTGCAGCCTGTTGGCTCACTCCAGTGTCATTCCTGGGCCACAGCAATCCCATCTGAGCTCATCAATTAAGTAGGGTCAAACCAGGTCAGGGCCAGATGGGACCTATCCAAGGAATACCTTAAGCTCCAGCAGGGTTTAATGATCCAGTAGGAGATGCTGTCTCCCCCAGGCCTCTGCTGAATCTCAGCACGGGACTGTAGCTTGCTGGGCCAAACTTTTATTTTACTACATCAGTGTAAACCACATTGGGCTGAAAGACATTATTCCAGCTTTACAAACCAGCACAAGTGAGAGCAAAACAAACGCCTTTCTGTCTTGGACAAGATAGGAAATCAAAATCTTAACTATTTGCAGTGATTAAAAATCCCACAACGTTCCTGTTTTAGAGTAGGGGTGTTAACCCATTTGTCCTGGCCAAATTCCAACCTGGGTAATTACTGTAATCTGCCTGTGTAAATTACCCCTGCCGTTTTAATTGGATATATTCCTTCTCTTGTTGCCTAAAGTGTGATGTAATACCATTGTGTGTTATTAATCAGTTACCAGGTTTCATCCCAGAAGTGATGGGTAGAGAGCCTCATTCCCTCCTGGTTGAGTGCTCTCTATTACAACATGAAAATCCCCAACATACACTTGTTTTTAAGTGGCAGACAAGCTGATATTGCAATCTAAATAACGTGGCTATCCCATTTATTTTGAAGACCATGAAGTCTGCTTGATTATACAAGCACAGGCAGCTTGCAGCTCTCCAAGAGAATCCGGAGCTGAAGGTGCTTTTTTGCCAATGCAGCTCAAGACCTCAAAAGTGTCTGTATTTGACTTTGAATTTGATTTCTGTCATGTTTGAATGTAAGGTTTCTTTGGGAAAAGCTGATCTTTCCACGATGCAAAAATTCCTAAGCCTATAAAAGGTGAAACTTCCCGTTGGAGTGTACTGGCCTGATGTACAGATCAGATTTGTCACCACGGGGAAGCTCTGTGGGGGTTGTTGAAACACCTCAAAACTAGCCCTGTAGCAAGGATTGCCTTTCTGAGCTGTCATTCTAAAGGTTTTTCCCTTTCTCTCCACCCTCCTGAAAAAGTAATCAGCCAAAGAGGATGAGAGGAATGGCCCCACAAAACACAGATCATTCTAGGGTGAAAAGCAGCAATTGGTAAGAAGGAAGGCACATATCATTTTGTGTCACAAAAGAAAAAAATGTTTTCTCCCTCCAAAAATCCCTGTCACTGTCCCCAGAATTCAGGATCAGCAGATTCACTGTAATGATGACTAAGAGCTCCCCAGAAGATTTTGAAGGAAGTGTAAATCTTCAAAAATTTTTCTTAGTTCATCTGTTAGGGTGGGATTTGCATGCTGTAACTGTTGCTGGGTGTCCAGGCTCCTATTCTAGTCCTTGGATGGCAATAACATTACAGAAAGTAATGCACTTTCTGTGCCTCACAAGGCAGAAATAAATACAGCTCCTTCTGGACTGCACTAACACTAGCAGAGAAATAGCCAGAGACTTTGGAGGGATAAAGCAAGGCAAGAAGAACAATTTCGTAGACATAACCTACCTCAACTCCCAGGAATGGACTTTGATAGCCCTGACAAAGCTTTTACTTTTAAATTCTCCTTTGGTTTAGCTCCATCTGATAGTGGATCCAGAAGAGTCTGTCCCCTTGGCAGAGGCACAGGCACATCTTGATGTGGTGGCACAGGCAGGGCTGGGGACAGGCAGGAGGCAGAGCAGGAGGGGAGCCTGTAGTGCCCCAGCAGGTCTGGAGGATAACAAGGTAGTGACAAAAGCAGCCTCACATGCTTCTGGAGATTGCTAGGACCCAGAGGCACATGTCTCCTGTATCATTTACTTTACACACAGGACACAGATGCCCTGAATGTTGGTTTTTGGTAGGATCCAGCAGGCTGTGTGAAACTCTCATGGTTTGGCATTTCCAAGCCAGCTCTGCTTACAAGAAAAGGGTGGAACAGAGAAATCTGGTAGGGCTAGGTCTCCATATTGCTTCAGGAAATCTCACTTCCATCTTTTCATGATGGAGGGTCCTTCTTGCTGTGCAAGAGTGTACAGGGGTCTGGGGAGCTGCATGAACCTCGGGGTTCTGCCACTCCTTAGCACCCAGCTGAACATCTCTTTAGCCTGCAGACATCCAAAGGCAGCCAGTGAAACATGCCATGCACAAACCTCCTGTGCACAGCCTCCCACCTGGGGCAGGCAGGGCTGAGAGCCAGGGCTGACCTCCAGCTCTCAGCCAGAGAGCTGCTTGTGCTTCTATTGGAAAGCTGCAAGTTTTGTGAAAGGACTGAGTTGGTCCCTGCACTGAGGGATGTGTCCCCAAGCACAGGCGAGCCCAGGGTGTTAGAGCTGCTCAGGCAGCTGGGCACAGGGCTGTCCTGCAGGCTCACACCCTGTAGGGAGCACAGGGAATGGTGCTGAGCACAGGGAATGGTGCTGGGCACAGGGAATGGTGCTGGGCACAGGGAATGGTGCTGGAGCAGCTCCTGCCCTGCTCCACCTGCTGCTCTCCAGGCTGTGTCCCACAGGGCTCCTGGCACAGCTCAGGGAAACACACTCAGCAACAATCCCTCTCCTCCAGTATCCACAGCTTTCACACAGGGAGCTGGGGGTTGTTTCTCCCCAGAGCTTTATTGTTTTTTTTTTCTTTTTAAACCATTCCCCCCCCCCCCACCTTTTAATGAATCAGACCCTGGGTGAAAATAATGCATTTGTTTAAAGCTGATATTTAATGTTGAGCAAACTGCTCTTCCTTTGTCTGTTACTATTTTGTTCATATTTTGCTAAGACTCTGCTATTCTACACAAGCATTTTAATAAACTGTTTGTTGTTGTATCCAGGTAACAAGCATGGTAAGTATTTTGACTAAACCAAGTATTATGTACCTTAGCTGTGCTTGGCAGAATTTTTTGGCTAGCTTTTCCTGTACTTTCAGCCTGTGCTGTTTCTAAAGGAGCTATTCAAAGGAAGAAACTGCTCACCTATAGTACTACTACATACAAGCTTTGGAGGGAGCATATGTGCAAAGTCATATGTCATACATAAGAGCATGCACCTCTTGCCAGCATGCTTGCTACTTTGCTTGTAAAATAAAAGCAGAAAAAAAAACCAAAAAAACCCAACCCAAAACATCCTTGCCTAATACTGCTCGTGTTCCTTCATTCTAAGTGACACACCTAAATATTGGTAGTTATTAATCCAGTACTTCTGGATGAGGAACCCTGCTGTACCAGCGTGTAGCAGTCTGTGGTTTTCTCATCTTCCCTGACCTAAGACATCCCCCTGGTTAACTCTGTTGCATTAAGAGGCCTTCCCTTTCTGTCCTGTGGCCATCCCTGACTGGCAGTGGCTGGGACTCCAAGTGCTGCTCTAACACAAGTAACTGATAGCAAGCCACCTTTTCCTAAACTCCTTCCTGTGGGCTGGAAAAAAGCAGGGATTTTATGGCTGGTAGCTCTCTGTGGGAACACTGTAAATCAGTAAAATGCCACAATTGAACATTTAAGATGTCGTTTACCTGTTTGTGACCTAACTTTGGAAATGCTTGTCGTAAAGCTGAATCCAAAATGTCCCTAAGCATGAAGAAAACCCTGTCCCTGTTTGCGAGTCAGCCGCAGTTCTGTGTTCTCATTTTACAGGGCAATACGAAAGGCAGACTTCTCCTAGATGGAAATGATAGAGCTCAAATCTCAGTGCTCCCTGTCCTGCAGGCAGAGCTGAGCCTCAGGAGCACGCCCTGTTTAGCCCAGCCTGATTTAAAATCAGAATTTGCCCAGATAAACAACTGGGCAGTAGTTTGCTCTGCCAGAGCTTCCTGTGTGTTGGCAGAGCAGACTGTGAGAATTCAGGTCTACCATGCATGTCTGAGAGGAGGTTTTGCCTTGAGGTAGTTTGAGTGTTAGCCTCCGTGCTGTATTTTTTTTTTTTTTCCCTGCATGGTTTGCTATTTTTGCATTTTCTGTGTGGCTTTTCAAGTTTTTAGTTTCATGCTTGTAGCTGCAGTTATTTAATGTCATTTGTTGTGCCAAACATTTTAAGACTCCGTGTAATTGTCATATTAAAGGATCAGACAGCAAAGGACAAAGCACTCCAGCACATGGCAGCAATGTCATCAGCTCAGATAGTCTCAGCTACTGCTATTCACAACAAGCTGGGCCTGCCAGGAATTCCCCGTCCTACATTTCCTGGGGCACCTGGGGTAAGTCCCAAAAAAATCCCTGTATTCCCTAACAACGTTCAGTAGAAAACTAAGATGGAATGAGTGGAATAATGCTTTGACTTGAGTTTGCAAAAGGAATGGTGCTTGTTCAAAAATACCCCGAGTCCTTCCAACAAAGAGAACAACTGTGGCCCTGTTTGTTTGTTTTTCCTCTTTCAGTTTTGGCCGGGCATGATTCAAACGGGGCAGCCTGGATCCTCACAAGAGTAAGTCTGAAAATTCAAAAGTGTTTTTTTCTCTATGCAGTGTGAAGGGTGGCTTGTGCACTCTGGGAGATCAGCAAAGCAAGAACTTGCAAATTTTTCCAAAAAGGAGGTAAAGACAGTTTCAGGGAAAGAAAGAGCCTTTATAGTGATGTGAACTCACTTTCAAAAAGTTATAAGGGATCCCAAACCTCAAAACTGAGGCTGAATACCAGATGGGCACCCTCCTTTGTGTCCCCATAGTTCAGTGTCCTCTGGGAGTCCCAGCAGTGCCCACGCTGGGTGTCATTCTCACCCCCTCTATTCCCTCTGTGCTGTCTGTCTGTTAAATATGCTCTGCAAGGAAGAGACTGGTTTGTGGGTAAAGGTCATCAGGCACCTATTTTCCTATACTGTGTGACTCTGATGGAATTTCCTGTGCATGGCACAGTGTGTGATTTTTGTGCACCTCTTTATTGCAGTGTCAAGCCATTCGTTCAGCAGGCCTATCCTATACAGCCATCAGTCACAGCTCCCATTTCAGGTAATCCTCCCATTTATCCTCTGCCTTAAAATTACTTGAATTTTGTGCTGAATGTGATTTATTAACTTCTGCCCTGGGCAGAGCCACTGCTCAGGATCTCATGTGTCCTCCAGCCAAAGGAAACATCAATCCTAGTGTCCTATTATATGTATATATATATATGTAGTGTCCTATATTATATCTTAGGGAAAATCATTGTGTTTGGGTTTTTTTTAGGTAGGAAGCACTAATGCATATGCAAGGAGTTGTGATATGTGATTTCCAGTCAGCACTCTGTATTGTAGGAATTACTGTAAAAAATGAGTAATAGGATGAATGTTTCCTTTAGAATAGCTCTGTAACAAGAATACACCTTAATTTATTTTAAACTGAGCCTAAAACCCCTCCCAACATCATATATGCTTAGCCTTAAGTATAAAACTTCTCTATGTATCAGGTTGTTTATAACTCATGCCCTCCTGGAGGTCCTGCTTTGCCTGGTACCACTTTGATAAGTACCTAATTTTATTCTGAATTTCATTGCTCAAATTGATCAAGCCCTTCCCATGGCTACTTCCCTGCTACTTTTCCCAGGTTCCTTCCATGCCTGACTTCATGAAAGCTCATTATTTATTTGCAGATGATTTCTCATGTTATGTCTCCCTTGCCAAATGCCCCCAATGCTTCTGACTCTGTGCAGCAAGTTTTTGACCCTTACCCAATTCTTTATGATTTTCTAACTTGCTGCTATTTAATGCTTTAAACTAAAGCTATTTTTCTGCATTCATGAGAATGACCTTTTCTTAACATCCCTAATTTATAACATTATTTTCTAAGACAGGTATTTTCTATTGTCTTCTTTTAGCCATCCATATTTTCTCTCAGAATAGGAACATCAGTATTTCTAAATCAGACAAAACTCGTGCATGAGTTTTTGCTCCATTGCAATTCCTGTTCATGTCTAGCCAGTGACTTTTGTAATTCCCTGTTTTGCACAAGCCTTACACCTTCATTGCCTGAATTTGAGGGTTGGAGTCAGGTACCACATTCCTTTTATGGGATATGTTCACACACTGCCTCTGGCCTCTCCCCGCTTCTCAGCCTAGTCCAGGATAATCTTTATTCTCGTACTTTTGGTGCCTCTCCCCTGCCTTTCTTGTGCCTGTGTCTCTCCCAGGATGAGTTTTGCCTGTGAGCTACTGCCTTTTCCTCTTCCTTTACAGTTTTCTTTCCTTCTTGTCCAATTTTCTACAATGAGGACCAAGAGAGAGCATTTATTCCTTCTCTTGAGGTGAATTAGAGAGGGTGGTTAACATCCCTTCTCTATCTAGATCATGTCATTCTCTCTTTATTATCAATTTGAAACATTTTTTTTCTTTTTAGGGTATGATTCAGCTCTCTACAGTAATTATTTATTATTAGCTGTATCATAATGATGCCTAAAAGCTCCAAAAGAAGTCAAGACCCAATGTGCAAATACGTAGTAAGAGACAGTCCCTGCCTTGGAGAGCTTGTACTCTAAATAGGAGAGGGGAATTGAGAGTGGCAGCAGAAACAGGCAAAAAGAGGGGTGATTTACCTGTAACATGTGGCACATTAGGAGCCAGAAATGGAGTCAGTTCTCTGACTCCCAAGGCAGTAATGTCTCCTGTGAGCCTTGATGCCAGTTTCCAAGGAAGGGTGCAGCTGTAGGTCCAGGTGAAGTCTCTATAAATCTCTGTAATCTAGTACATAATTTAAACAAAACTTCTGCAGGAAGTTTTAAGACTCGGTGTAATCGTCAGTTACAGTCAGTTACAGCCCCAAGGAAACAAAGTAGCAGTAGTAATTTTCTTTCTGCCACTATTAGATTGCTGGGCTGCCACCTCTTTTTCTGCACGTTACCCTGAGTTTTTCCAATTTTAACTCATCCTGAATTAATTACTTGCTAAAATTAATATAAATATCCAAGGGCCCCATGCATAATTCCCAATTATTTTTAATTGAGAAAATATGAGCTGAGGAAGTGTCAGCTTCCTGATGAAGATGTTTCCTGTGTTCCAGGCTTTGAGCCCACATCAGCTCCAGCCCCCTCCGTGCCTGCGTGGCAGGGCCGGTCCATCGGTACGACCAAGCTCAGGCTGGTGGAGTTTTCAGCTTTCCTTGAGCAGCAGAGGGACCCTGAATCAGTGAGTATTTATTGCCCTTGTGTCCACTGATCCTCAGCTTTGCTCCTCTACTCCTGATCTTCAGCTTTTCTCCTTTGCTCCCCACCCTCTGGGCATGCCTTCCATCACGTATGACGGAATACTCCCGGTGTCTCTGTGCTCACTGCTGCTCTGTGCAATATTCCTCTCACCCTAGGACTGTGTTTTCCTTTCTTGCCCTCTTTTTCCCCATTTGCAGCAGCCAGAGGCCTCTGTGAAAGCAGGCAGGGTTTGCTCTGGCGCCTGTCTCACTGCTGACCTAGTTTAGCAGGTGTACCAAATTGCATTGTGTTCTTGGCAAGAATTCAGTGCTTGAACTCTAAGTTAAAGCCTAATCTGTTTCCTAACCAAAACAAAATTAAGGACTTGCCCAGAAAGAGTGCATATTGCATATTGGATTTTTTTTAATGAGGTTTTAAATTTTCTTTTAATTTTTAGTCTGTATACTATACCTGCAAGGGTAGTTTCTGAAGTTGGCTGTAATGTGTCATTGCTCCAGTAAGCCTTAAACCTTGACATTAATCCCCATATATTTACCAAGAGCTAGGTAGCTTAGCACTGATTCTACTGCATTGCAAATAAATTGAAAGAACTTCTTTCAGCTGGAACCTGAGAATTTTTTTTGAGATAATTTCTGAAAAGCAAATACTCTCCTGAATGGGCGATATGGACAGGCCATTTTTGTTCAGATTCCTGGCAAAATACAGTAGCCTGGAGAAGAGAGAAGCTATCATTTTATTTTTATAATCCAGCACTGGAAACCATAGCATTAATGGGCTCTGGCCAGGGGTGTTATCCTAGGAGTGTTTACCCTGCACTGTGGGGATTGGAGACATAGCCCAGAAACCTTACAACAGAGGAATGCTCCTGGCAGGGACACATCCCTGTGAAAACACACCCTGGCTCAGCTGTCCATGCACCCACCACGTGGCAGGGTGCTGCTTTGCTGAGTGGCAGCTTTGCCAGCCTGAACGGGCTTTGAGGTGCAGCAAATGTTTGGCAGCAGGTACAGTTCTCTCGGTGCTCACCTGACTGCCGGGCATTCCTGGCTTCCCTGGAATCCCTTTGCCTTCCCATGGTCTCATGGCAACCCTGCCTCTAGTGGGCTTCACCTCAGAGTCTTCCAGGCCCCTCTGGAGCACCCCTCCACCCCAGCCCTGAGTCCCTCTGGGCAACAATTTGGATTTCTGCTGCCTGGGTGCAACATCCCGGTCTCCCCACAGTCACCCTTAGCCATGCACAGATTCCCCAGCCCTTGCTGACCCCATGGAACATGTCCTGCTGATTTCTGGGCTCTGCCATCCCCAGCCTGCCCCACACCAGCATGTGTGTGTGTGCTCCAGGTTACTGGGAGAACAGGATGTGGCCACGTGATGCTCAGCCTGTCTTGCTGCCTGTGTGTGAATGAAATCTCATTTCTGTGCAGTCTCATTGGCTGTTTTGCCACCGAATTTTCCCTTTTCTGGAGGTTTTTATGACATAAATCTATATACAAAACTCCTGGGGTGCCTCTGTATCTGGGTTTGATGTCAGAGGGGGCAAGCAGGGGCTGGGCAGCTGAGCAGCTCTGGCCTTGCAGGGAGACAGTGGAGGTGTGAACAGAAGCATGGTTACCCAGGATGGCCCCACCAGCACTGTGAAGCCTTCTTTGGAGTAAACTGATATTATTTGAAATTCCTGAGGGTGCAGAGGCCCACTGGGTCTTGTCCCAGCTTGCAGGAAGCCTGCTGAGAAACCCACCCTTCAAATGCATTTATGCAGGAGGGTTTACAGGACAAGCAAGAGCATCAAACTACCCAGACTTGTTTTAAAAAAAGCAGTTACTTGTGTGCTGTAACACTGCAAAAACGAGACTCTAGGCAAAGTCAATTCCCAATTTAGCTCATCCAGGTGGGGCAGGGCTCTGCATGGGAACAGCCTGCAGCATCCAGGCAGCTGCCATGGGCCCCCAAAGGATGAGCCCCTGTGGCACTGAGTGAGCATCACTGCCTGGGAAAGGGGAGTCAGGAGCAGGAGAAGGGTTCCTTACATTGAATTAAGTAAATTTGGTTATTTGGCATTGAGAGGGCATTGGGAAAAGCCCCCAGGGCAGTGTGGGCAGTTCCCAGGGTGTTTCTGGGCAGAGGCTCTGGTGTGCAGGGGCAGCTGTGGGCCTGCTGCCAGCCTGCCCTGTCTCCAGTGCTCAGAGCTCTCCAACAGGCACCAAGAGCTCTCCTTGGTGAGAGCAACCCCAGAGGAATGCCACTGCAGAAAACGTGAATTCTGCCTGCAGCTTTGCACACCTTTCTGTGTGGGGCTGTTTTACTGCAGGTACAGTTTGCACAGCAGAGGAAAAATGGGGTTTTATTACTTTTCACATGAAACCAACAAGGCATGTGACCTGAGTGTGTTACCACAATGTGCACATGAAGTCCTGTAGGCATGTGCTGTGATTGCAGCATCTCCTTTGTGCCTCTGCTGGCCTCAGAAATGAATGCATTTGTGTGCTGCTGCAGGAGACATGTGTAGGAGTTCTCCTCTATCTTCTGAAAAAGAACACTTATAGATTCATTACATTGCTGACTTTTCACAGAAAACTACACAAATCAGTATCTTCATCGAATGTGCTTCCAACATTTCATTAAACACAGGTGACCCTTCCTCCCTCTCTCCCCCAACACAAAACCAGGCCAGAAAGCCTCATAGTGCTAGAGGCAAGTAGACCAATTCCACATCAAACTGTAGCCTGGAAGTTTATTGAAAACTGTGTATTTGGGGACAGGACTTGGTCCTGGCACACCTCTTGCAGTCCCCATTCCCAGCCAGAAATGAGAAATTTAAGCTTTGTCACCCGTGGTGACTCCCACAGCCTGCAGTGGGGCTGTGCATGGGCACAAAGGTCCAACCACGGGGAATAATTCCTGGTAGGAGTGGGGCCTGCAGCATTTCTGTGGCTCTTGCAATGGCAAATGGTGTTTAAAAGCTTTTTAAAAAGCTCAATGCCAGGCGGTTTAAGAGGTTAGTTTAGATTGGGCATTCTGGAGGGTTGGAAATCAGCTCCATAGAGTCCCCTTGCTTGTGGACAGCTGTTGATCTGTTGATCTTTTTCCTTGTTTAGACACAAAATTGTTCCATTTACAAAAGAGAAAAATATAGAAAGGAAACAATAAGCAACCCTCACTGTAACTCTGCATGGCAGAAGATAGTCTGTTCTAGGGGAACACAAGATGGCAAAATATTGGAACACTCACTCTGCAGCTGAGGATGGGTGAAATTGCTCCACCTTTTTCATGAAAATCAATTCAGTTTACAAATGTCAAGCTGTATTTTCTTTTTGTGGCATTTTGTGCTTAAGTGCAATTCCTAAATGGTGCATAGGAGCTTCCCTTGCAGGCCCAAGCAGCAGCATTTCAGCTACCTTTGAATATTCCCTGCCCTGTGTAACTCTGTGCTCAGCAGATGGAGCAGGTTTTGGGCCCATCTGTTGCTTCCAAGACAGGTTTTCCTTAATGGGGACTTCCCATTTTTAGCCTAGTGGTTCTGTGGAAGTTCAGGACAAATGCTAAACCAAGCAATCCCATATTTCCTAACAAATATAAACTGAGCATGCAGGCAGGTTAGAAAGGATCTAAGCAACTGACTGCTACACAAGTAGATATAAAATTCAAAGACTAGAACTGAAATGAAAATGATTCAAAATCTTTATATATATATATATATATACACACATACTCAAGTTTGATTTTCAATCAGAGAGAAAGCTCTATCACCACCCAACAAAAAAAGCCCTTTCTTCTTTTTTGAGGCTTCTTGGTCTTGCTGTCACATTTATTTAAATTGTGAACACTTCAGACAGCTTTACATTTAAAATATCTATATAGGGCCATAAAGAACATGGCTGATGGACATTTTCAGTATTAGTCCACCCATCCAAACTGTCAGATTGTGTTAGGTCCAAATTTCAAAGTGTATTTTAAAAAGTGGTGAAGAAATAAAGCATTCTTTATGTTTTAATTCAGGTTTTATTGTTGTTGTAAAAAGACTTTGTGAGCCCGGGGAGAATTGTGCCTGAGAACCAGAAAGGGAAAGCAATTGCTCAAGGGCCATAAAACCAGCCTGCCATCATTAGCCAAATGCAGTAAAACGCACCAAAGTTAATCAAACCACCTAAGTGATGAAAAATAAATGAGATCTTTTCAAAAGAAGCCCTCCATCCTTGAACAATATCCATTGTTGCAAGGATTGTTTATCCTTTCTGTACTCCCTGTAAACAGTATAAAAAGCAGTCCAGCATTTCAGTCACAAGGAAGTCCTTGCTTTAGTGTCTTTGTGATGTGAAAGGACAAGAAAGCAAACTCACATTAGGATGAATGTCTCAGAGCTGCAGACTCTGGATTGGAGGTCATTTTAATCTGGAACCAGAAAAAGTTTTGCTGAGCACAAGGCTCATTTATTTTGCCGTGCTGGAGAGCTGCTCGTTGGCCGTGGGATGCAAATGTTCACCTCTGTGAAATGTTCATTTTTGGGTCTCCATAGTTAGAAGTCCCAAGAAAGCACTTTAAAGAGGTCCAGTGTTGACACGGGCTCCAGTTGTGAAGCTGTGGCGTGGCAGCAGATTTCCCATCCTGCAGGATTCCTGGGGCACCCCATGGATTCCTGGAGGAATTCCAGGGCAGCTTCCCCAGCCCAGCCGTGGCAGGACATGGACTCTGCAGGGAGGGTGCTGGGGCCAGAGCAGGGCCAGGTGTGTTGGGAGCCCAGCACCATTGATCCCCCAAAGCCAGCCCACAGCTGGAAAGCCTGCTGGCCCTGGCTGTGCCCTCACTGCTGCCCTCATGGGCCTCTCTTCCTCTCCTCAAACCTGCTGTCAGGGAGATCTCCCAGCAAAACTGGAAGTGCGGGGGACACGCGGGGTGGGCTGGCACTGGAGTGGGGTGGCTGTGGCTGTGAATTCCCCACTCTGCCTGCCCCCAGCAGCTGTCCTGGCTCGCCCCAAGGGCTTTGCAGCTGCCTGTGCCTCTGCCCTGCACCTCCCCAACTCGTCCTGCAGCTTCCCCTGCCCCCAGCCCAAAACCAGAGCCAGGCTCCCAGGAGTTGGGCAATATCCCCTGCTCTGCTCTGCAGAGAGCAGATAATGACATGCTCACGTGCTCATTTGTTCCTCTGCTGCATTCAGTGGAGATGTAGATGGCCCTTCTTTGATAAGCAACTATTCAGTAGTTTGTTTTCTTCTGCTGTTGAAATGCGTGGCCCCGTGCCCTGCTCGCTGTGCACTGTCTAACCTCCCTTCCAAATGGAATTAATAATTCCCTCCATTTGCATTTCACAGATGTGCTGGTGCAGTCTTTTTGGATGAAGGAGCATTATTACTCACAATTGACAAACCAAGAAGTTCAGGTGCAAAAGAATGAATGGGCCACTGATTTTGAGGGTCCCCTTTGATTTGTCATGAGCTTGATTTTGCAGAATACTTAACATTATTGAGAGCTTCCTTTAGTCAGGCATAATTTTCCCATCTGAGCACTCAGCACTGCTGGAACTGGGACTGCAGGGTCTTAAATCAGGCAGGCCAGAAGTGGAAGATGTATCTTCACTGTTGCAGAAAAGCTGATGGAAACGTTGTGTAAGCAGCTTGCCCAACCAGCCAGTCCCAGTTTCACACTGGGACTGCTCTGACTGCTCTGCTGGGAAGTGCTGGGCAACACTGAGGTCTCAGGGAACTGCCTTCCCTCTTCACCTACCTCTCCACTTCTGCAACCATAAAGTCACCCAAAACCCCCTTTTACTTCACATTTCCGATTCAATCCCTGAGCAGATCCAGGCAGGAGTCTGAATGCAGGGAGGTCCATGAAGAACCAGGTTGCCCATGCAGCTGTATGGTAGCATACAGCACAGAAAGTTCAGTTAACATTCCACAGGAATGTGTTAAAAACCTTAACAACAGGACTTGGTACAGACTCCAGTTATAGCATTAAAATGTCATGTTTATAACTCCCAATCTGCTTCAGTGGAGGACAACAGCAGCAGGAATTAAATATTCAGTTACTAGTGTTTTGGTAGAAATAAGAAAACTTGTTGGCAGACCAAGTGATTTTCTTACATCAGCAGGAAATTAAAGTGTTTCAGATTTATGAGATACGGCAGCAGAGCTGAGGCTGAGCAGGGTTTGGGTTAGAGCTGCACACAGACTGCTGATACCCCTGTGCCTGGCTGCCAGACAGCCCACCCCACCTGGCTCCCCCAGAAGCACAGCCCCTGCTAGGGCAGGCGTGCCAGTGGGATTTGGGAGCGTTAGAGCACAGCAGGAGGGTGCAGCACCCTTGCTCTGGGGTGCTGTGCCCATGAGCAAGCTCATCCCCACAGAAACAGCTGCCCCCTGCCTTCCTCCTTGCTTAGCATCTACATCCCCCTGTGGATGGGGAGCCATTCACCCCCTCATGTGCTGATCTCTGTGCTTGTGCCAGAATATAAGGGCAAAACTGGTGAGGAGCTTTTGCAAATACATGTGCTGGCTGATAGAGCAGATGTAGGTGGTTTGTCTTTGTTCTGCACCAGCTTAAATGCTTGCATCCCCTGCCATTGGCAATTTGTCTTGGTTCTTTTAAATTCCTAAGTGGATTATAATTTTTCTCGTGGTATTATTTGACAACAGTCATATTTCATGGCTTTACTGCATTCTTTGGATAGTTAGAATTTTTCTAAGGGAAGGAGCTCAGCTTTAAGAGGCGGCCATCTCCAGGGCATGTCGTGTAATGCAGACACAGGAGACAGAGCTGGAAATGTTCTTCCTATTCTTGTGTACTCAGAAAATACAGGATTTGATTTGTGCTGGTTTATGACATCTAAAGCACATTATTGCCCCTATGCCAGATGCAAATCCTTTAAATGCTTCGGCGTGAGTAAATTCCTCAGCAACTAATGTACTTCAATGACTCTGGGATACTCAGTCTAAATCAGCAGTGAATTCTCAATATAATGAGGATGTTTTTAAGCTTCTCAGGCACCAATGGGCTCAAAAATACAGGCAGAAAACTTTGCTCCTTTGCCTTTATCCATGCATCAGTTGTTATCGTGGAGCGTGCTTGTCTAAAAGCGATAGGGATCATTTCAGTATCCATTTGCCCTGCTCCAGTGCTGCATTATCATTTGTTAGCTTGCAGAAATATGCCATGTCTAATTAGCTTAGTAATGATTGTACTTAGCATAGGAATTGCAGCAACATAAGGAGAAAATAATCACACATTGCAATATCAAAATAAACATTTCTGTCCTAAGAATGTTGTCAGGTGATGTCATACCATCTGTCCTACTGTACCCGCTCAGAAATTTTGCTGCAGCAGCATCTGGTGCTTTGGCAAGCTCTGCAGACAACTGTGGCAGCTTTGCAGCTGCCTCCAACTGCTTTTATATTTAAAGAGTATTAAGACTTCATGCTCCATGCCCCTATAAATGTGTTTGCCTTTACTGAAGTTTGGATCCTGAGCAATTTGTATATTTGCCTGGCTTGCAGAATAAGGCACAGTGTGTGAATTGTCTTGGGAGTTTGCAGTGGTCAAACTGTAAAATGCAGCTCTCCCTTCCCCCTTCCCTCCCCAGCCATCTTTGGGCTGGGAGAGAGACACCCTTTTGGGGAGGAGGACAATTTACAGGAGAATCTGAGCCCTCGGTTCTGTTTCCATAAAAATGTGGTTATTTATACAACCTGGAACAACTCCAGCAGAGAAGACCGAGAGGAAACAATCCCCAATTTTTTTTTGCTTGTGGAAATGCCTTAATGAGATGTTATGTTTTCCTTTTCCCTTCTACAAAATTTAGAAAGAAATACAACCCTGCAAGAAAACAGAGGCTGTATCTCGTTTTTGGCCCCATACCCAGATGAGTGTTCTCTGGTTCTAAATTCAGATTTCACTGTGCTAGATGATTTTTTAATAGATTTCAATTTCATTTCCTAAGTGCAGAAATCCAGCCAGTCCATTTCCTTTTCCCCAGAGTTTTGGACATCTGCTAGGGAAGACTTTGCTCACACCGAAGGAAGGCTCTGAGTGGTTGCCCAATTCATTTAGATTTGTCACTTCAATTTGTTCATTCAGCAGGTACATTGTAAACAAAATAGCTTAAATGAGGTTTGCTTTGGGGTTTTAAATATTTTATTTGTGCCTAGCTTTTGGGAATTGCCCCTTATGTACAGCATCTGTTCAATGTGACAGGGTTCTCTAGTGTTCATTGACTGTGTATCAGCTTTCCCTTGACTGAGTTAGCAAAATATTTTGTGATCTGCGTGGGGAAAGCCCCCAGTGTTTAATCCTGCCACTCTGGAGCTCCTTGACTCTGCTCTGGTGACTCTGGGAGATGCTGATTGACTGCTGGAGGGTCTTTCATGTCCATCCTTCCAGTTTTGTTTCGGGTGCTGAAAGGTTCTCTCGGAGGAATGGCAGCCCCCAAAAAGATCATGTTGGACTCCTTTGGGGTGGACTTCACTGGGCCAAGGATGTCCCCCAGGCAGGAGAGGCACTGCCGAGGCGATTGCTATGATTACAATGAGGTGTGATGGGATGAAGTTAAGAAATAGGAAATTGAGGCTGAATGTGTTTTGGCAGGGATGGTCATCTACAGAGCTGGCTCCCGAGGGAAGGGGGAAAAGTTGGGCTCTTTAATATTACATGGGTTGAAATACAGGAGTACAATGTCTGTAGGAACAGCAGTGCAGAGTAACTGGCCTTCTTGTCATCCTGCAGTCAAAAGGAAATGCCCTCCATCTCTTTTAGTTGAGATGTGCTGCAGTTAGAGGCTTGCAGCATGCAGGAGTGGGCTCTGTGGCACAAGCAGAAATTCAGGCTCTGAGGACACAGGCCATTAAAAATCACTGTTTAAAGGAGCAAAAATAGGCTTTCCTCCCGAGCACATTCATCTTTTTATGCCCAGTGAAGGGCTCTTTATCACCCTGCTGCCACTGGGCCTTGCAGTGTAAATGACCCCCTTGCAGAGGCCTGTGTTTTGGGGCCTGCAGTGGGGACGCAGTGGGGTTTTTTTGATGCTGACCCTTGTTCACAAGGGTGTGTGTCACAATCAGTGAAGCTGTTCCTGGGAACCATACTGCAGAAAATCCCCGTGCCAGGAGCCAGTCCTGCAGTCCATCGGAGCACAGCCCCGCTCTGTTCCTCTCACCGATTTCCCTGTTCCTCCCTTGCAGTACAACAAACACCTCTTCGTGCACATTGGACACGCCAACCATTCTTACAGCGACCCCTTGCTGGAGTCGGTGGACATCCGCCAGATCTACGACAAATTCCCCGAGAAGAAGGGTGGCCTGAAGGAGCTGTTTGGGAAAGGGCCTCAGAACGCTTTCTTCCTCGTCAAGTTCTGGGTGAGTCAGGTGTGAAAAACGCCAATCACTTGTTTTTAAGAGTTTAATAGTAATAAAATGGTTATACAAATAGTAATACAATTAGAGTAATAGTAATTTGGACAATTTGAATTAGGACAATATGAGACAATAGAAACAAAGAGTTACGGACAGTCCAGGTACCTTTTCTGGGCAGCACAAGCCCGAAAAAGGACCCACGTTAACAGAGGATTAACCCTTAAAAGCAACAGCCTGTTGTATATCCATACACCTCATCCATGATGGATAAATTCCATTCAAACACAGGATTCTTTCTGGGCAGTGTCAGCTTCTTCCTCTCAATCCTAACAGCGCCTTCGAGGTGGGAAGAAGTTAATTTCTTCTCATAATGGAGCAATAAATTCTCTTTCTCTGAAAGATTCAGGTGTCCTGTGGCTGCTATCTCACTGTGAGTCCTTTCTGTAAAAAAATATATCCTACACAGCATAGTTTCTATTTTAACATTATGTTATAACCTAAAACTATATTTAACACACTACTCAAGAGAATTAATACAGCATCACTTTCTAACACAACACATATAATATTCATTTCAATATTTGTGAAAAGCCAATCATAAGATACATGCATTTTTCACATAAGGCGTGGAGGGGAGGACTCTGCTGCCCAGCAGGCTGGGGGAGGTGTTTGCTCCTGTGGAAGTTGCCTCTGTTGCCGTGCAGAGCTGTTTGCACAGAGCTGGCAGCTGCCAGCGGCCAGGGCAGATGTGCCCCAGCTCTGCCTGGCTCTGCACTGCGGGCAGCAGCCAGCAGGTACCCAGAGCCCCGTTTGGAGATGGGAACTGCCATCTAGTGGTGCAGGGAAAGGCAGGGAGTGGGGCCTGCTTTGGGGTATTTCCCAGGTGCAGCTGCTGCCAGGTGCAGGGGGTGTTGAGGATCAGCCCTGCCGTCAGCCTGTGCTTGTGCAGAGACATCCAAGCTGAGACAGCTCTGAGCCTGGGAGGCTCTCAGGGCTGTTTTCTTGCAGCACATCTGCTTTCTCCTTGCCTTGCTGTTAGTCAGCCATAGGATTCTGCTCCATAACTTTTCATGTTCAGAGCAAGGGTGAAAAAATAATTGGAATGGAAGGCTGGGATGCTGCATATTGAATCTAGTAGTGATGAATTTAATTGATAAGCCAGGTTTTTCTTATTGCATTTGCGAATTATCATGTTAGCGACATGATCATAATAAAATCATTTCGGTTGGAAAAGGTCTCTAAGATCACTGAGTTCAACCATCAGCCAAATCCACCACTAAACTACTAAAAGTTTCATCCAAAATGATCAGCAAATCTGCAGGCTGAGCCTCATGCTTATACTAAAGCTTTTTATGCTCACTAATTTGTTTGGGTACTATTTTGTGGCATACTCATTTTCATAGCAGCAGTTAGCATCTAAGCATTTAATTTTTTTTTTCTTTTAAAACTTCACTAAAAGGGAGACATATTCAGGGTTTAATTACAGGGTGGACAGGTTGAGGCTGAAACCAGAATAGGTTGATCTGGAACCACTGCTTATGATCAGATTTCCTTGAGTTTATCTATGGGATTTGAAATACTCTACACCTCATCAGTCCCCCAGACTTCATATCTTTCCAAGAGCTTCTGTAGCACCAGATTTAGGAGTGGAAACTGGAATGAGGGAAACTCTTTTTTTCTCAAATCTGGATGTAGAAGGACTAAGCCACTGAGCAGAAGCTGTGTTGGACTGCAGAAGAAACCCATTGAGAAATTCACAGGGCTTAAAACTGGGCCTGTGAGCTGTAGACCAAGTGTTTGAGGGCTGGCTGAGCAAAGAGGCCAGAAAGAGCAGAGAGCAGAGCAGTGGGAGCTGAAACACAGTGGTGCCAGTGGTCTGGAACAGGCAGGTGAGAATGTGGGGTCAAAAAGAGGGAGGCAATGGGAAGAGAGAGCATTTGGGATAAGAAAACACAGGGATGAAGTACAGCAAAGAAGGTTTCTGGGAGGTGAGAAAAGGACAAACATAACAGCAGGAGAAATCTGGCTGCAGTGGAGCAGAGCTTGGAGTTAAGGGTCTGTGACCACTAAATACATTTCCTTGAGAAATTTGCCTTGACCTGAGGCCATCATCTCACCAATCCACTCTGTGTAATAAATATTTGCAGAGCACACTGGCAAAAATGAATGTCACTTCACATGCCTGTTCTCATTTCCCACAGAGGATGATAAGCCTCAGACTTTATACTAGATGTGGATGCAGCAGAGATTTATGATATGGTAATTGAGGAATTGTGTGTTCTGCTTTTCCTCCATGTGGAAATTGATTTTCAGGCACACTGAATGCTCAGAGTTATACCTAAAGCCAGCAGAGACCTTCTTTGGGTCATTGAGGTCTGTGGTGTTCTCCTGACTTTGGAAATCCAAGTGCCAGCCTTCTCTGCTCTGTCTCCTCCCAGCAGTGCTCCCCTCTAACACTCCTGTCCCAGCCCCACATCTGTGACACATCTGTGGGGCTGACAGCCCCCTTCACCTCAGGGGCTCACTGTCACATCAGACTCATGGCTGCTGCAAGGCCTCGAGGTGGTGCCATGAAAAACACCTCTGTGAAATGTGTGACTCTGTGCTCAGCACAGCTCCTGAGGAGCTCAGGGAACAGCACAGGGAGCAGCAGAGACAGAGAAAGGTTGTGAGGATGTTCAGAGGGTGGGTGTGCAGGTGTGTAGCAAAAACCTGTGACATGATACAGTTCAGCAGTCAGGATGTGCAGGCAACTTCAATCCAACATTTCCTAACCTCACTGTGCCTTCCAACATAATGGCTTTTTAACAGTTTTGTGCTGTATTAACTGAGAGGTTAAAAAACATACAGTGCTAACATCCTTCTGAGTTATACATTAAAAACGTGGTGAGAACACTTTCCTGAGCCATGATCTTAAAATAAACCAGTGGATTTTCTCTCTCATCAAGTGAGTGAGGCAGAGAGAAGGTGCCTGGGGTGGTGTTTGAGTGTTGCAAGAGTCACAAGGAATGCTCTTCTAGGAAAAACTTCACACCAGTGGCCCCCAGTCCTAAACATATGTAGGAATATGTCCAGGAAAACCAGAAGATAGCTAGTCATGAGAATTAGATCCTAAACTATCAGCTCAGTGTCCTTTATTACTTTCACCCCAATAGGGCATTAGGAAAAAAAGGATGCCATTCCCTTTTTTATGGGGAGTGTTAAAAACTCTTTTCAACTCTTTTAAAGTCATAATATCACCAGGAAAAAGCTGGCACAAGTTGCTGACAGTGTTTTTTGACCCTGTAAGTAATCTCAAATATATTCATATGGGCAGAGATTCATTTTGGCTGAATTAAGTATCTGAATTAGTGTCTACTCTCTCATCATCTGCTAGCTCCTCCTACTCTGTAAGTTCACCTCCTCCCTGCTTCTGTTCATGATGTGTGGTTATTGCTTAGTCCCAATACTCTGCCTCACCATTTATTTCCCATTTCCCATCCTTTGTGCCATCAATCATTTGCTCAGCACTGTAAGCTGCTGCATCCCAGGTGATGGTGGCAGTCCTTGTTTGGGTGGGCAAAAGAGGAAAGTGAATTTTGCTTGGGCAAATAATTACAGGTGTGAAAGCACTCTGAGGACAGTCAGTGAACAAAAGGCAGGGTCTGAGTGAAAAGAAGCCAAAGCAAACCAGAGAAGGGAAGCTGGAGAGTGAGAAGCTTGAAAGTGAAGGTGAGGATTTGGTGCCAGAAGGAATGGTGACCCTGCAAACGGATTTAAGGGAAGTCAGCATGCCACTGGAGGTAGCACAAAGGGAGTTTTGTTTAGACTTTAATTGTGCTGTGGAATGGGAATATGGGAAACAGGAAGACCACAGATGAGTATTTGTGCTGAGGATGACTAAGGCAGAAGGCAGCTGAGCTCTGGTAGCTGGAAAGAATACTCCTCTGGCTCTTTCGCCTTTAGTTCTGCCTCAGGCTGCTCACCAGCACAGCTTTCCCTCTTGTCCTGGTTTCAGTAATAAGGCTTGACTACAAAAAAGATGGGAGGGAAAGGTCTGAGACCTTGCAAGAAGACATCTGCCAGTTGTGGAGTTGACCTACCCAGGCAGCCCTGGGATGGAGTACAAAGCAAAGTTTGCTTTGCTTTGCAGAGCTTTATTGGTTTGTGCAGATTGTATCTCATGGGAAACACAGCCTGATGCTGGGAATGGATAAGCTTCTGGCCCTGCTCCTGGTGACACATCTGGATGTCACACTTCTGGGCCTCTGCCTACCTAGAAGTGCAGGAGGTACAGAAGGAAGAGACTCCTCCTCCTACACCACCTCAAACCAGCAACCCCACACCCTGCAATGCAATGCCCTGGTCCTTGCCTTGCACCTGGAATGTAATGGCTGTTCCTCTGCTTTATCCCAGAGAGGCACTGGCACCCCACAGTTCAGGGAAATTGCCACAGAGGTAGATTTTTACACTAACAGGGGGAGTTTCACTTGGTGGGCTGTAAATAAGGAACAACATCCTGATGGTGTGGCACAGCAAGTTTGTGTGACAGGGGTGTGAGACTGGAGATTACTGGGTTATAGAATTAAAACAAAAATAAAGGTGGCTAAACAAATGTAAAAGCTGTCCTAGAACAGTGATGCAGAATTCAGAGAAGGCTGAAGAGTATCTGTGGAGGAAACCTTTCCCTGGGTGCAGGTTAATTGCACAATCCTGCTTCTCTCACCTTATGGGGCTAAGCAAAACAACCAGGAGTGATTTGTGCCATCTAACCTTAATCTGAGGATGGCCAATATTCCTGGTGGTCAGTTTGTATTTAAACTGCTTTTGTGACTTGGGAATAGCCCCAAAGTTTTCTGCTCTTTGAAGTTCCAGTTAGCCTGACTAAAAGCTCAGTCAACACAGGGTGCCTGTGCTGCTTTCTTTTATTGGTTCTATCCATGTTCATATCTAGTGCTAGCCCCACTGATTGCTCACTCCTATTACTAAATTCTCTAATTCTAGGCAATACACTTAGGCCTCCT